AAAAAATAATTCTATTCCTTATAATTCCAGTTCGCGGGTTCATTCAGCTTTGTTAAGGAAAGAAACTACCCAAATGAAACGGTAACTGGCTAGTAAATGAGGAACAAAGCGATCATTATTGCGCGATTGTTTGATCTCATCAAAGCATTTGCTCATTCGGGCACCTGATGAACAGCTGCAATTTCAGGCTACGTCTCAGGCGTAAGTGATGCGGCACATCAAGCGCTACGAGGTATATTCGCTACAGGCGAAATACCGTTGATTGCACTAAGCAGTGAACATAGCGCTAACCTCGACGAGTACTCCACAATGCCATCCAGCAAATTCTATGCACTCGCGCTTATTAAGCTCTTGAAAAAATTCAATTGGGACTACGTAACAGCTATACTCTCTCAGCAGGTATGTGCATTTATACATCTAATTAATCGCTTAGTTTCCTCACGATCAGCAATTTTGATTTCTGATCAATTTCAACACTAAAGTTGTCATGAATGAACACTATCACTTACTTCATTGTAAGTTTAACTGATTTCACACTATCCGCATAGTATTTAAAGAATGTGAATTTATAAAGTAATGTTTTGAAGGAAGTTATTATCTGCACAGACTAGTCGAATGTACAGATTAGTGCGAACAAACGTCGTTTCATTCATTCCATTCGAAGTTTCATCTGTTTACAGGACAGCGCATCGTTGGCCGTTTACGGTCAATTCGAGCGATTGGCTTCAGAACGTGGCATTTGCATATCGGATGAAATACACGTTGACGGTGAGCACTCGCCTGAAGCAATCACCTCATCGACCACAAATGTGACGTTACTTTTCACCACTGCCGCTGATGCGGCCAACTTTTTCGCGGCTAAACTCCGTAGAGGTTAGTCGGTTGATCCGATAAATTCATCGCCGATCACGTCTGCAATCTTACTGATCAATTAAACTGTTTCATATGGTACAGTCGAGGATCAAATGCAATGCAGATTGTAGGTTGTAAGAGACACCAAGATAAAATGCCTAATTAAACTCGTTTGGTAACTGGTAAATGCTAAATTTCAGAAAGTTCATCAGCTCATGTCTACGTCGTAATTGGTGATGCACATGACTTCTATCTTCATGATCCATCGAATGTTGCAAAACTTGTGGGAACGGTTTCATTGCAACCCAAGGTTTCACTTCATCTTAATAAACTTCAAATCAGCACGCAGTTTCTCTTTCCTTTTCGCTCAATTCGAGCATTTTCAAGGCACATATCGATCTAAAGATCTAAAGAATGTCGATCTAAACAATTCGACTACTTCATCAGGTGTCGTTGTGCTCTTCGAAAAGATTGCCTATGAATNCTATGAATGCTATTTTAGGATGTCTCCTATGATGATTTCCGGGAATGGTTAGAAATAACCACACCTTTAACCCTACCTGAGCAGTGGTATTGGCGTTTTGTTGAAAATCGTTGGCAGTGTGCATTATTGCAGTCGAGCCGAAAGACTTATAATGATAAACTTTGCACGGGTGATGAACTTCTTGATGTACCTATGCTAGGTGAGTGCTGCATATTTTCCATTCAATGAAACCTCACCGGCTTATGTCTATACGGAATCTGAACCAGTTTTTGAAATCGTCCACTTTTCCAATTGTGCCATTGAAGTATGCGTGAAAGTGATCTAAAGAATTTTTTCTGCTTTGCTTCAGTGATTCCAGTTGAATATGCTCGATGAAAAATGCTTTTATGAAGGAGTGAAGACATCAAGCAGAAATCAAAAGAATTTAGGTCGTATGACACGAAGCGGTTATTTGTCGCGAGGTGTGGAACGTTTCCTCTTTGCAATGGATGTCGTTTATCGACGGCTGTGTCCAGAACAAACGGGCGTTTGCAGCGATTTTTATAGAAATGGACGTAAACAGATACTAAACACACTCAAGAAAGTACGAACCGATGACGAGTTTGAGGTGTACGAATTCCTTCCCGATAAGCAAGTTAAGTTGTAATTCTCCTCTCACATTCCAATTACAGTTATGAGTAATGATTTAATTTTTGATCAAGAATCATTGGAATTGTCATTATTTCTCGGTATTATTATAAATAAACTCAAGACTGGAACAATAAAGGTTTGAATCCGCGTTCCTTACTTGAGATTTGCTAGCTTCTCAACGGTAAATCACAGCGATCAAGTCCATCAACGTACGTTAATATTGAAGAGTCTTGAATTAAACGAATTTCTCATTTCAGGTTCATTCTCATATCGAACCATTGGGAATTGGTCACTGGATGATGGTCTCCGCTTCACTGATGCATACAAGAATTTCGATATTAATGGTAATCAAATTCCATCGCAAAACGCCGCAGCTCTAAGGTGAGTGAGCGTTCCACTGTCTTAGTTCCATCGATGGTCTGAAGAGATCCAGTTTGCTTTCGGAATCGCTGCCATTTCGTTGAAAAATACTCCAGTGATGCTCTCTTGTGAACATGTACATTATTTTGCTTCTGATAGCTGATGCATAATCAAAACGTTATGAAATCGTACGAGTTTAGTGGTGAATCCATTATAGAGTTGATCTGTTCCGAAATTGGAAGGTCTGAGACACACTACGATGCTATGAGCGATAGCTTAAAGTTACTTACATCAATCACATTCCGTTGAATGCGATGAGACATTCAAATAAATTGCAGAACAGTCTCAAGATGTGAACCACCACTGTGTAAATGTTGGATGGATAAAGACTTCTTCAAGAATCCCCTCCATATGCCCTTCAATGAGGATGTCACTCTATTAGGTGGATCGTACGTGCAGAGTGAGCCAACTGCGTCCAACAATCAACTCGGACAGCAAGATTCACCTGTATGTCTTGTCATATTGTTTAGTATTTCAATTCACACCCACTTCTCAATGGACGATTCGAATCTGCTGATTATCTCACCATTATCACTTCATAATTTATTGGATACAGCATGAAATTTGATCGATATGAGTGGATAGAAGAATTCAATCAGTCTAGTTCATATCAAGTTCATGTTTATTAATTCAATTGAATTGATCAGTCATTAAGTGAATTTTGTCGCTCATTCCAGGTTTTGAAACATATCACAGAAGGCCAGTGGCATATACATGGTAGTAATTATGCGTTCTTGGTGATTATCACTTTGCTCATACTGACTGCATTAGCGGTGCTGCTTCTGATTTGTGTGAAGGTCTACTTGCGGGTTGTAAAAGGAAACCAATCGTTGGGTATATCATTATTGGTTGGCATCATAATTCTATATTTTACTGGCTACGCGTTCGTATTCGATCCATCCGATATCGTAGGTTTTTTATGAACCGAATTTTTACTTTGCTCAGATATTCTCAGTTGTATTCCATCACAATCTGATATGCTCTATTAGAGCTGTTCCAAAAATTGCTTTCATCATCACTATATGAGGAATAACATTACCTCTGTTTTAAACNGCCACACAGCTGCGCAATGCGGAAACGATCGGATTTTCGCATTCAATTCATATAAGCTTCTGGAATTATTGGTTACTGCTATTCTTTATTCTTGGTGTTCAAATCGCCCTCTCTGTCAGGTGAACATTTCATTAGTTATTATCAGCCACTTGAATTTGATCAGTTGATCAATTTTCTGTGCAATTTATCGAAGCAAAAGTCAACCTTTCGAAAATCTTTGAGTATCTTCAGTTTTTTCATTATACGTTTCGCTACCAAAATCACCTTCACTACCAATGAAGCAGTTCTCTGACGTTTCTTTGGTTTACTTTCATTCCAGAGTCAGACGATACTTTAAAACTATAAATTATTACCAAGATGAAAATTCAGTGAATGTTTTCAGATGGGTAACTGAACAATTCGCAGCAAGCATTGTGCTTGACGGAACGTCGATGCATACCAGATGTACATTCGGAGTTGAGGAATTCCTTTTATCGCAGACCTACGTGGTATTGCTGTTGATATTGGCGTTGTTCATCAACAGTCGAAACAGGAATATCAAACGCAATTATAAAGTATTTACTTTTGCCTTTATTGTATTCTAAACCTTGCATCAAGATAGATTGACCGCATTTCGGAGTTCAACGAGTATCTCAGAATTCACTGAAAACCATTGAAGCCATCATGTGATTCTTCAATATGATAAATACTAAAGAATCACATGATAACATTAAATACGAGTGAATCGTAACGATGTTCTGTAATCAAATTCTACTCCTCCTTGATGTCTGTCTTCCTAGACATTTCATAAGCAGAACATCCATAAGTTATGCAGCCACCAATGATAGATTCAGTATATTGCTAATGATTTTCGTTTCAATATCTGAATGCTTGACGTTTAAGGAAACTAAATGGTTATTCATTGCTGCGTTAACGTGTGTACTTTTATGGATGGCTTGGATGATTACTTACGTTGCAGTGTCACCGCCATATAAGGTTATATAATGATTTGATATAACATCACATATAGTACGTAAATGTTGCATATTACAGTGGCAACTCTGAGATGAAAAAACATGATCTCTATAATATCTATTCAGCAATTTATCTTTTTAACCTATTCACCTTTCGAGGTGTTCTGTGAGAAGAGATAATTTTTCTCAAAACTTCAATTTTCAACTGTCAAATTTCAATGAATTCAATGGCATTCTCTCGCAATCAGCTGTTTCAAATCACTGTAAACAGTGGAAATGAAATGCAAATCATTTTAGGATATGGTGATTGTTGTGGAACTGATGTTATGCGCATCAGTCCTACTGATATTCTTATTTGGGCCAAAAATTTACATTTTACTATCCTATGAACCAGTTATAGTCGAATATAACGCTCAGGCTGGAAAGTGCAAGGACGGCGTTTATGAGAACGGTCTTTTTGAGAAAGGTCAGTGCAGCGCATGAATCGAAACTCTTATGAGTATATTTATATTGGTAGATTTATAAAGAACGAAATGACAGTCATTGTGTAACGACTTGGATGCGTATCAAATCTTTATCCACTGATTACCCTCAAACTTGGGTAATCAAACGGATGAACGAATGGAACCGCATCCAAGTCGTTAGATGGTGCCTGAGGTGAGGTAATTGGTCAGGTAATAAACGATTTGATACTTTACGGCCAAGTCGTCACACAACTGCTTCTTGACGACTTACTGTGCGCAATTAGCATTAAGTGCTGACAGTATTTTCGATGGAAAATTTTCAGATGACGAGATGAAGCGATCAGTATCGCCAACAGACAGTTATGCAACAATGACTCAGACATCGCTTTGTAATATTCATAAGGCCAGTGCTGCAACACCACATTCAATAGCCTCAACAAGCGGAGCTTGTAGTGATGAGCAGGTGCGGTTGAAACTGTCACTTTTTGACGGATACTTTCCGCTTTTGTTCTTAATAACACCAAGTTCTGATCAGTGAACATCATCCTCATCACATCGTTAACAAACATCATTGAGAAAATGATTATTCAGAAAGTCATTGAATATAATTCGAATTCTTGTTTTTTTTTTTTAATCAACGGTGAGCAAAACACCTCAGCCTTATGATGCAAAAGATTGAAACTGATAATTCAAAACAGAAATATCAGAATATTGAATGATTTATTTAAGATTCATTTTCATTCCATCTTTAAAGAGACATTCCTCTAAAATTTTAGAAAATAATTGATCGTAAGAAAGGAGATGATGGGCATTCGAAGACGTGAATAAATTATACATGAGTAAACAAAACTTCAGGGACCAATATTTCATACAGTGATCCGTAAAAAGAATCGTCTGCGACGTGTCCGATCGGATACGAAAGAGCCGAAG